AGTTATGTGTTGATGTATTGTTTGGGGGATATTTAAGTTGGCCGTTTGGAGTTTTTGATTTTGGATGTCGGGGATATTAGTAATTTTGGAGTTTGAAGGTATGGGGAAGTTTAGGTATCGAGGGTGTCAAACATTTTTGATTTTGGTGATGTGAAGAGTTGTAGGTTTTAAAGACATCGAAACTCTTAGATTTTATATAAAAAGATGATATAAATATGATATGATATAAAAAGATTTGGGTATTGAAGATATCAAAAGTTTCAAATTTTGAAGATATAAAAGGTTTATAAAAGATTGAAGGATTCAGAATATGGAGGATATCAAAAATGTTTAATTTCGAGAATGTCAAAAATTTTAAATGTCAAAGATTTGAAAAATTTGTAATATAACAGATATCAAAAATTTTAGATTGCGAATATATTAAGCATTTTATGGCTCAAGGATATAACAAATTTTAGATATCAAAGATGTAAAAAATTTGTAATATTATGGATACCAAAAATTTTACATATTAAAAATATAAAAAATAAAAAATTTAAAGAAATTTTAAATATTACAATTCCAAAAGCTTTAGATTTAAACGATATACCGAATTTCAGGTATCACAGTTACCGTTACACTAAATTATTCCATTCATCCAGCAATTCGCAATAAAACAATCCTTCGAAAAATTAATAATTTCACCGTTTTACCGTGTCACGTACAGAAAATCCGCATTATTCCACAAGCGTCCAAACCAACACGACTGGCAGCTCATCTCCATTTTCCTCGGCCACAAAACTTCTCCCGCAAGTAATACACTCATGTCACCATCCTCCCGACCGAAACTAACGGGGGCAAATAACAAAAACGCGCGGAACGTCTCCGTGAACGTGTGAGAAGTCATATCTACCAATCTAAATTCAGTGGGGACCGAGTCTTCTTCGCTCGGATCCTCTAAAAACTCGGAAAGAGATATAACCGGGAAACGCGAAAGTTTCTCGCGGCAGCCGGTTGTCCAGCGATTTTACAAGGGAACCTTTTCAACTAGCACACGTAGATTTCGACGAAACTTATCTCAGATATATGTAGTTCTCAAGAAAATATTTCACGCGTATTTTTTTCTATCAACCAACATCCTGCATCCAACTCAGCACCAACTGTGAAGCTGTGAAAACGTCTCTCAAATTTAGGGGTTGAAAATGTATTTTTTACAATAACTCTGAAACTAGAGGGTGTAAAAAAGAAATTTTTGTTTAAATTGTAGAACAAAGTATTATTTCTCGCGATACAACCAACTTTGTTTACCAAAAATATTGTAAAATTTAAGAATATCATCTGCAAAGCAATCTGGAATACTTTTCTCTACGAGAACTAGAAAATGGTGCATCTAATAATTATGACTAAATTGTAGAATGCGAGAAATTTCAAAACACTTGTCTATTTTGGTCCGTAGTTCTTACATATGGTTGACATGACGATAGAAAATATTTAATATTAGATATTAAGTATTTAACAAAGGAAATGAAAAAGTCGAAAAAGATTTAAAGCTTTTAATATATTATTTTAAAAAATGGGTTTTAAAACACATTTCCTGTATAAATAATCATTTACACCGAGGCGAACAGTTTAAATAAGAAATTCCTTTTCTACACTCCCTAGTTTCAAAAATATTATAAAAATATACTTTCAACCCTGAAATTTGAAGGCTGTCTTCACCCCTCCAAAGTGGATGTTGGCCGATAAGAAAAAACACGTGTCAAGTATTGTTCAGCGCGCACAATATTTTTTAAACTTTAAATTTCAAAGTTAATTATATGTACGCTTCAAGCGGCAAATTAATGGCACTCGAATATTTGGGGTTGGTGCAAATCAGTCCACACTTAATTTTAAAACTAAAATTTAATATTAAACTTAATATTTTAGTACAATGTTGTTGCAAGAGCGTTTGTTTGATGCTTACTGCTCGATGAATTTACAAGAACTGGTGAGTGTCGGAAAAATATTCCTAGCGGGACCTCAATGGTTCTATCTCAGGTATCGGTTAAGGTAAACAATAATAAGGGATGGCCTGTAATCTCGTGATCTACCTGAAGTTTTCAGTTAGGCAAAGCCAGATCGAAGGCACAAAAAAAAAAAATGGAAAATCCCGAAATTGTCAAGGTGGTACATGCCTTTACTTCGGAAAGTATAATTTTTGTTTAACGGTCTCCTCGAACAATGATGCTTCCCAACACAACGTGCATCTCGCCGGGAACCAAACATAACATCCGAAACATGTTGTTACAACGTAACAAATATTTTCTTGAGAACCACGTCTCACTTAAGTTCCATCAAAATTGGGGTGTGTTGGTTGAAAAAAGTTCCTCGTCAGTTGAACTTCCTCTTCCTACAGGAGGACGGGGTGATTCGATATCAAATTGTGTCGCGACTTCCGCGCGACAGTAATAAGCTGCAGCTGTTTTCTTTCTCGTTTTTCAGAGCTGTGGTGCGAACAGGTCTGGGACTCGCTGCTCTGCTGGCCGCCGACCAAAGCCTCGGCGACGATCAAACAGAGATGCCCCTTCGAGGACGGATTCGATACGACCAGTAAGTGTGCTGCTGCGCGGCAACGTTTGATGAATGCACATTTAAATTGCTTGTTAGCGTGGCCCGTCGCCGTCCACCACGCAACGCCACGCCACGCCACGCTTGATAATTAGAATGCACGTGTAATTTTCAAAGAACAGGGGTGGATATGTGTTTGTTTGGTGTGCATTTGTTCACCTCTTAGTAGTCGATTCTCCTTTAGACTATGTTTGTTTTATTATCCTTTATTTACTGTAATGTTATCATTTTATTTATTTACTGTTCCTTTCGTTATACTTGATAATTAGAATGCATGTGTAATTTTCAAAGAACGGGGGTGGATATGTGTTTGGTTTGGTGTGCATTTGTTCACCTTTTAGTAGTCGATTTTGTTTCAAATTGTGTTTGTTTGATTTATTTCGTTGAAATAATGTTGTTGTTAAAGTATTGTTGTTCTCTATTTGGTAGAAGATTTTAATCTTAAACGTTTACTATGCCTGCTGCCGTGGTTTATAATTAAAATGCATAATTGTCGAAGAACAGCTTTGTAGATGTGATCGATTTGGAGTGTATTTCTTGACCTTTTAGAAGACGATTTTTTTTCAGATTGTATTTGTTTCATTTTGTTGAAATAATTTATTTGTTTTTGGAATATCACTATTCTTTATTTATTATAAGATCTTAATGTTCCATTTTTACTGTGCCCTTCGCTATCATAAATAAATAGAATGACTGCATATTTTTTCGAAGAACAGGGTTGTTCCTTTCAGGTTATCCTCAAATATTTATATTGTAATAGAAAATCGTATATTATGCATAATAAAATATTTTAATGTATATAATATACCATTCTAATAAGATATATTATAATAGTAAAATTATATAATATCAATGAGAAAAGAGGAGAATATTTATTGTTTCCATTAATTCGAGTATTACTTAATTTTATTATTAAATAGAAAAATTAACTTCAGTCGATGAATATTCATTTATTTATACTATTTCATCATTTTTATTGTTTTTTTATTGAGTCGAGATGAAAAGCTCCGTTACGAGTTCCATTTGCTATTATACGACAAGGGGTTAAGGGATCAGCCAGGCTTTATTCTTTTATAACAAAGTTCAGGAGATTGTTATGAATTTTACGCACGCCTCTATGAAAAATAAACCACTGGGAAAGTAAACGTGAGAATTGGCAGAGTTTGTGGAAAGCTCGTATAAGATTGAACAGTTCTTTTGGAGCTATTGGGATTTGTGGACAAGTCTAACCACATTGACATCGAGAAACGAAATATCTTCCTTTATCCTGAAATTGCCTCGTCCAGGGACAATGAAATATATCGTTTACTGCATTATTTAAAATGTAGTATTCAAGTCATTTATAATCGCATTGTTTTCAGATGAATCTCAGCAAGTTCTGATCACTGTGAATGCATTATAACATAAGGTTGGACCAAGTCAAATGAAATTTTATGAAATTTTAATGTATCTTTCCTTCGTCCTCTGAGAAGGAACTTAAAATATTTCGTTCATTTTAACAAATTATGTATGAGTGTATATTAATTGAAATAGTACTCACAAATATACAGAAACATTCAAAGAGGCTAAGTAGTTTTATATTATTCTAAATTATGGTATTATATATTTTTCATTAATTGAAATTATTATATTCTATATATTGAATTAATTTGAACTTTTATATTCGACGTATTAAATTCATCCTAATTTAGAATTTAGACTATGGATCTAGGGTTTAACATTAATTTAATTGAGATTAGAATTAAATCTGTTTAGACTTGGCTTGATTTGTACAATTCCCACTGTTGTTAGATTAGAGGATTAATATTAGACTTATATTTCTATATTATTTAACCAACTAATCAACAAATATCTAATTTAATATAGATCAAAATTAAATATATCTAGACATAGTATGGCTTGTGAAATTTTTACTAACATTAGATTAGAGGATTAAGGTCAAATTTCTATGTTTATGTTGTTAAATCAATAAATCAATTAATATCTAACTTAACTTAGATCAAAATTAAATCTATCTCGACTTGGCTTGGCTTCAAAAATCCTTGATTAGACCCAACCCAGACTTACATCTTCATATTAGTCAAACACTAATCAAATAATACAATTCAAACAATCATCATCTAACTTTCGTCTCAATTTATACTCATTCAACTGCTTCTATATAATGAATCTTCACGTCATTGAGAAATGTAATTATACCACTTCCAATTACACTGCAGGCTTCTCATTCCCTAAGAAAAGAAAAGACCGAAAAATTCCAGAAGAAAAAAACACACGTAAGTTTCTATTATCACAAAAGAATTCCTCGAGACTCGAGAAACTCGTTACCATTATTTCAATTGTCTTTCTGGCTCGGAGTACTGTTTGATTAATTATTTTCTCGAGCGGAGAAGAATATCTACGACTTTTTGGTGGAAAATCGACGGCCACTGTGTGCATAGGAAACTGATGATGAAAGTATTTCGTGATTCCGGTTAGTAATTACAAATTCCAGGATCGCAGTACTGGTCTTAATTGAAAAGCTGCACTTCAGGCGAAGAACTTTGGGGGATTTCGTGATTTATTGCTGGCAGAGCGTTAATCTCCGAGATCGTCTTGGCATGAGGAGAGCTGGCACTCGAAACGACGCTATTCAAGTACCCTTAATGAGGATTGACACGCTTTTAATCAATCCTGCCATTGAACATTATGATTTTTAATATTCCATTAACAGTATCATTATTTCTAATTGAATTCTTTTCAAGGAAACAACGTCACTTGTTGTTTCGATTATTTTCAGTGTTTTTCGAAAGTTATGTTTTAAAATTATAGACTATCAGGATATAAAGTATCTTTTAAAAATATAGTGAGAAAATAAAGTAAACAATGAACATTTTTAGAATTTTTTAAAAGTATCTAAATAAATTACCCTTTTTTTGTAGTATGCTCGGTACCATTTTTCGTAAGCACCATTCGCCAAATTAATTCCATCTTCTTTCCTCTGTTCCATCTGTGTCATAACAAAAATCAATTTTTGCTTTTTTAACATTCTCTTCAAAGCGTTACCATTTTGAATTTAGTTCTTCTTTTATAAAAAAAAGTATCGTGATTCCTCTTTCTCTGATAAGAAAATTTCTCAAAAAATTGTAGAACATTTAAAAAAATTATTTTTGTAAAATTCCGGAATATTTATAAAAATTATTTTCGTAAAAATCCAAAACATTTTTAAAAATTATTCTTGTAACATTCGAGAAACTGTAATTGTCAATTTCATTGTCCTTCAACCCTACTGTGTGCATAGCATCATTTGTCGAATGGATTTCTGTGTTCAAATTTATTTCTGTCATGATAAAAATCCAATTTTCCAAACATCATTGGCAGATCGCTTCGCGAATCATGCAAGTAACTTTAATCTCCAACTTCCCCGGAGCAATCCAATATAGGCTCGAATATTAACTATCTGCAAAATTGGTCTGGCTTATCAAACTACGTACCGGAAGTAAGCCCCTTCATCGCATCTGCAAACTGGAATTGTAATCTGAACTCTGATCCGTGACATATAACACACCCGGATCACCTGGCAAACCCGTATATTCACAATTCAATACAGAATCTGTAATTGCTGTTGTTCTCTTTACCATTTCCGGTGTACCAGCCTGTGCACTATAAATAGAAATAAACAGTGCATCTTTTTCAATTTTCACTTATCCCCAATTCTATTGTATTTACCCAATTTTGTCTCTTCTATATTATAATATTTTTTTTCTACATGTGTACGTATACAGATACATTCTTCTATTATAAAATATATTTTTATCGCTTTCTCTTCCATTGTAAAAAATATATTTATCAAATACTTTCTTCTAACATAGTATTTTTATCACTTATCTTCTTCTCTAAAAATATATCTTTATCAAATATTTTCTTCTAACATAGTCAATATTTTCATCGCTTATTTTCTTCTACTATAAAAAATATATTTATAAAATACCATCTGCCAACGCAGTAAACTTCACATACTTTCTTCCAGCATACAAAGAAATACGTATTATGTATAAAATATATAAAATATAAAGCAAGATACTTGTTTGCCAGAGATTTACGTGAACACCCTGTATAAATCTCGCCTGCAGACGAAACAGTGCAACAACCGGGTGCATCGTAACTAGAGGGGGTTAGTTTATATTCAAGGGCAGCAACAAGTGTTCCTGATTGCCTTTAACTTCCGTCTAATTACCTGATTCGTGCAGGTCGCGTCTAAAAGCGGAACGAATGGGTCTCGCCGAAAGGTGGATGCCTAGAGTTTAACTTTGACGAAGAGCAACGGGCTCCCTTTATGAGCAGCGCCGTCAATCTCGGCCGGTACTTTTTTTCTCTCGCTTTTCGCTTGCTTCCTGGCATCGCTCAGGGGGAAGGAAATTCATTTGAACGGTAACGGGAATGAGAGATTCATTCGATAAGAGAAGAATGCTGGAGAACCTCTTCTAAATTTCATTCGTTTCAACTTTACTTCATCGTCCTTTGAGGAAATTCTGAAATTTTTCATTTTTCTGTTAGCCAACCTGCAGATTTTAATTCTTTTGTGAAGATCTCAAATTCTTATTAATTTCTATGAAGAATACTTTGAATTTTGAATCTACCAAAAGAAAGTTCTATGATTTTCGTTCTTGCGCGAGAAAATTTTGAAATCCTCATTCTTTTGCAAACATTTTTTTATTATTTTCTTTATTTATTATTGAGAGGTTTTAATAACTTTGTTTTTCCGCGATGAAATTGCCAATTTTTAGACCGCAATGGAATAGTGCTAGAATTTTATAATTATATTTTTATAGGAAATGCGGAGAGTATTAGCTTTTATAATTTTCAGTTTTTCCGCGTAGAAATGACAAAATTAGCAATCCTTTCTGGAAGGAGTCCACTTTTTGTTTCAGCTATTTCACTTTAAATGAAACACAATGCTTTCTATCTGTGTTTAAATCTCTCGCATTTTTGTCAGAAATATT